GACGCCGGGGTGTCCCTGCGCTGGGTGACACCGGGGTGTCCCTGTGAGGGTGACACCGGGGGGTCCCTACACAGGGTGACATTGGGGTGTCCCTACACAGGGTGACACTGGGGTGTCCCTGTGAGGGTGACACCGGGGGGTCCCTACTACTGGGTGATGCTGGGGAGTCGCTGGGAGGGTGACACGGGGGTGTCCCTATGCTGGGTGACACCGGGGTGTCACCGTGCTGGGTGACACTGGGGTGTCCCTACACAGGGTGACACTGGGGTGTCCCTGTGAGGGTGACACCGGGGGGTCCCTACACTGGGTGACTGGGGAGTCACTGGGGTGTCCCTGTGAGGGTGACACCGGGATGCGCTGGGTCACACCAGGGCATCACCATGGGGACGGGGTTTGGGTGTTTGTCCGCCTGTTGGGGACAATCGGACAGTGGCTGAGCTGGGGACAGGTCTGTGCCTAGGTGTCCTGTCCTGCCCCGGACACCCGAGCGGGCTGTCACCGCAGCCCAGCCGTGTCACACAGGCTGGCCCGGCAGCCTGAGGGGTGACAGCTCAGCCCGGGGGTGACCCAGCAGCCTGACATGGTGACAACCGGGCTTGGAGGTTTACCCAGCACCCTGACACGGTGACAGTCCAGCCTGTGGGTGACCCAGCACCCCAACACGGTGACAGCCAAGCTTGGGGGATGACCCAACAGCCTGATTGGTGACAGCCGAGCTCCAGGGGTGACTCAGCACCCAAACATGGTGACAGCCCAGCCCAGGGGTGACCCAACACCCCAACACAGTAACAGCCAGGCTTGGGGGTGACCCAACACCCTGAAAAGGTGACAGCCCAGCATGGGGGTGACCCAGCAGCCTGACATGGTGACAGCCCAGCCCGGGCCAACACCCCGAAATGGTAACAGCCAAGCTTGGGGGTGACCCAGCAGCCTGACATGGTGACAGCCCAGCCCAGGGGTGGCCCAACACCCTGAAAGGGTGACAGTCCAGCCTGGGGGTGACCCAGCAGCCCGACATGGTGACAGCCAAGCTTGGGGGTGACCCAGCAGCCTGACGGGTGACAGCCAAGCTCAGGGAGTGACCCAGCACCCACACCCCGACATGGTGACAGCCAAGCTTGGGGGTGACCCAGCAGCCTGACATGGTGACAGCCCAGCCCAGGGCTGACCCAACACCCTGAAAGGGTGACAGTCCAGCCCGGGGGTGACCCAGCAGCCTGACGGGTGAG